CCGGGCCGATTTCCAAGTTTTTTGCGGTAATCGACGGGTAATTGGCCCTAGATGAGCCCGCTCTATTCAGATTTTGGAAATAGGACCCAGGTTTTTTTACAATCACGTTATAAAAGTGAGTGAATTTTCAGAATGCTCCGAGACTGCTACCGCTATGCGCGGGAGGATGCGCAGTGGTCAAGGAGGTTGCGCAGTAGCTGTGTAACCTGCGCATCAGCTCTACACTTATCTACACAAGATTCGCTCTGACTCCATCAAGACGAGCGGTGGCCGAATCGTCAAAGACGTCGGAAGCGTCCACTCAGATCATGGTGTGGGTTCGATTCCCACATCCCGATATACTTCATTATTACCTGATTATCAATGATCGTTGTTTTACTGCAATATTTCATCAAGCAGTCATTCCAAAACGCGTCCTTTAGACTTCAAAAAAAAATGTGTTTCTTTATTCATCGAAACCAAAAAGTATTATATTCTAAAAGTAAAGTATATCTCATATCGTAATTTTTTAGGGGAAAAATAAAACTAACACCGATAGGAGGGTAAAAATAGGGCCGCGTATTTAAATAAACCTCATCACTCGATCTGTTTGATCTTTTCATAGTTGTTTCTATGACCCAGATTACTGAAAAGGTAAGAATTGAAAAGCAGAGAGGAAGTAATTATGAAGACATGAATACATAGTTTCCCCACTTAAAGTCTGTATAATTTGACACTTCATGCGTCTTATTATTTTTCAATTTTGCTAGTTTAAATTAAAGATTTGAGGATGGACACATCTTCAACTCACTCAGCAGTTCAGATTTATTCTAATTCATCAATCAGTAAACGCATGCAATTATTATTGGGAATATTTCACCCAGTCTATTCTATCAGGTTCAGAAAAATTTTTTTACCTTCTCACTATGTTTGAATTCTCTGAGAACTCTGTCATAATCTGCTTTGGTTACTCTTTCGGGAAAACAACATGCAGACTTGATGAACGCTTTAAGAGATCTTTCTAGCAGCTGATTAACTTCACCATAATCATAATCGTCATGTCTGCAATCAGATAAATGTCATATTAGAACACACAAACTACACACATTGCCTTCTATAGGCACTTCCCTGCATAGCCTTCAAAACTATTTAGCTTGTTCAGGTTTCAATTCTTTTACTACATATTTCTTTTCTGTCTGGATGAATGAAACTGTGAAATTAAGTATATCTTTTTTTGACAAATTTGATTTTTCTCATGATTTTTACATTTTTTAGACAAGATGCTGACTTAGAATCACCAACTCAACTGGATGATAGAAATATTGTTTCTCAACTGATAAGTTGATAAAGTTAGGGGATTTTATCACTTTAATATTTGAATCTAAGGTCACACAGCGAAGGAGCTTTCGGTCCATTACATTGCAGATTGCTCGTTTTCAGCAGCAGTAAATGCCTGGACAAGCAGTAGCAGCTCAAAGATCGTTTTCAAGAAACAAAGTCATTCTTGTTTTATGGAACTTTCTTCTAAAAACCTTTTCAATTATCAATTTATTGGATTCAAAACTATTTAGATTTTACAACTGATCTGAATACGATGAAGATTTTTAGGGCTGCAAATTACAGTCATACAATCTTTCGATATTAAGTTCTTAGGCCAGAATTTTGAGATGCTATTTGATTTTGATTATTGCTTTCTTTAGGCTACTTTTGTGTCTCTGTATGATTGCAGCTTAGGAAAATAAAAATCATCCTTTCTGTTTTCTCGAACATCATTTGAAAAGTTTGATTGTAACAGACCATTCTTGTAAAAATTAAAGCACTGGAGATTAAACTTAATCATCAAAATTTCAAGAAAAATACATTTGACTTTTATGTGTTGATAATTAACAGTAAAATCAGTAAATTTACAGACTCAGAGAGGATGGAGCATTGATTGGTAGTGCAAAATTACTGTCTTGAGGGCACTTGAAATAATTAAAAAATATTAATAAGGAAAAAGAAAAAAACTTGGGGGTTCCATTTCAAAATTGTTAGGTGTCTACCGAGTTCTGCATAAAATTTTGATAAGACCTTCACTATAAACTGTGGTATTTCTTTTCTAACCTTGTCTACTGGGTCCATTAAGTCAGTAAAGGTACCTGCAAGAGGATTAAGGACCAAAAACTGGATAATGGGTCAGTTGTGCTGGTCACAGAATTGTGTTTTGATGCTTGATTCTACTAGATTAGCTAAAAATATTATGATCTGCCCAAACCCTGACTTTCTACGTCCAATATTAACCGAGATGTTGTCCTTTGAAGAGTCGGGTTTTTGATGTCACCAACCGCGGTAGTGACACCCTTGGTTTCTTCCACCTTGGTTCTATCAGTCAGGGAGACACAAAATAGCACTGGTTACTCTACACGAAACGCGGATGAAAGCAAGGTGGAAGAAAGCGAGGGTGTCACTACCATGGTGGATGACGTCAAAAACCCACCTTTTCAAAGGGCGATATCTCGATTAATATTGGACGTAGAAAGTTGCGGTTGGGACAGATCTTAATATTTTTAGCTGATCTACAAAAATCAAGCATAATAACCCAATCTATGACTAGCGCAACTGACCCATTATCATTTCATAGGCTGGCTAAGCATGGCTAATGCTTCACTGCAATGTCACTGCTGGCTTGGGAAATTTTCTGACATGCCTCCTACGCGCATGGTTAGGGAAATGCTTTCACTGAGGACACATACCTGATACCATACATGCACTGAATGTAGTTCCATATGGCCCTCCTGAATCTTGACGTATCAACATCTGTTCGTCCGCCCATAGTGTAATAAGTTAGGTTGTATGCTACTTTAAACTTATCGTCTAGTAGGTTTCCTACTTCATTGTAAAGCCTATTTACTAAAGAGTATCCATGGTCATCCCAAGAATAATCCTGCAACAGTAAAAAAAAAGAAAATGGTTATTAATTGACAGTTAGACAGTTAGGAAATATACCATAACCTGAATAATTAGCCAGAAAAGTCATCAATTTATATTAGTTAGAGGCAATGCCCATCATTATTAAAATTAGAAAGACAAGATCATGGTTTTGTCGTACATTTATCAAAGAGATTGCAGAGATGCAGAAAATTCTTGGCCTGTTATCTTTCCAACTATATTGAGAGCTCCTATTTGGAGAACTTCCCCCCCTTCACTCTAAATGCTCAGAGAGACCTAGGATTTTTTGACACACGATTTTGCTCAATGATTTTCACTGATGTCAGTGAATTTAAACTAAAATGAGATTGATGTTCAAAAATGGGGCAAATGGGATCAACCTCAGATAATGCTAGAATATAGTGATAGAGAATGATTATTACTCCAATGATTTTCAAGAATGAAGAATCCAGCAAATGAATGTTTATAATTTCGTGAAAAATAAGGGATTTCCTCACATTTATTTTCTTTTAATTTTTCAGAAGTACATCTTTTCGAGATTTCATCATAATATGTACTACTTAGTTCAGTACCACAGAGGAGGCAAACAGAAAATATTTTGGTTTCTACAGTACACATACAGCATCATGTAAAATTCTGCTGTAGATATAAAAAGACAATTTAGTGATCTTTTGCTGACCTTTGTTGACTTGTACTATCTGACAATAACACTCAAACAGCCCCACTTCTTCAGCTATTACCTACTTCAGACAAATTTTGCACTTTCTTGAATTTGCCTCCCAACATTAAAAGATTAAAAGGTAGAACACATATACAAGATACATGTTGTCAAAGTTTGACGTCAAAATAACCAAAAATATGAGCCAAAGAACTGTAGAAATGGAAAATAGGCTCCAGTCAGTTCCATTGTTTGATGCATAGGTTTCTTTGATAAAATCATTTGGGTTAAAAATTATAAAATATTCTCTTAAAATGAGCATCACTTGCTTAGCGATCCAATTTTTTCTTAATGTCACCAAACTATTATTGTTTTTTTTAAATAGGTACCAGAATTGACTTTGAGATGGACAGGATGGATGATAGATTTAGATTACCCAACTCCTATCTTTTAGTTCAGTTGTATTTTACTGTTGGAGTAGGAGCAAATTGAAATGATTGTAAATATTGTAGAAAAAAAGAATGTTACCTGAACTCGAAAGGTAGGAATCTCAGAGACTTCGCCACGTTTGGCAAAATCTTGATAAACAAAAGCAGGATCATCTACGAAATGTTGGATACCAGGTTGGACGGCAGGAGTATCAGAGGGTAAAGCCATGGCTAATTCTACACTTTGCGATTCTACTCTCTCAAAGCGTTTGGCACGCTCCTCAGCTGAGAATTCTTGAGCTCGCTCCGATAGGGTTTTCATTCGCTCCATGAGGGTTTCAACTCCTACTTCTGCTTCGCTCCAACCATCTCTAACTTGTTTAGATCTAGGACTTGAAGATAAAACTTTATTATTACTAGCTTCGACTGGACTTGCTTTTGTTTTTTCTGCATTCATTTGACGATCTGCTTCTTCGCTAATTCCGCAACCAAATACAAAACTGCACAGAGAATGAAAATGAGTGAGCAGGACGATAGCATGAACTACCTCTGCTAGAGACCAACTATCAGCGCCTTTGGTGAGTTTCTGGAAAAAAAGGAAAATAATCATGATAAGATTTAAAATCTACAAGGTTTCATAGTAGACTAAAATTCACCAAAAAGGCATTTGCTAGGTGTTTTTCTCATCATTTAATTTTATTGTATTTTTTTTAGTAAATGCAATAATCTAAGAAAAAAAAACTTCATTTCTTGAGAAAGTTACAAATTATATTTTATTTCTTGTATTTTTAAAATTAGTTTAAAGTTCTTTAGCTAGGGTCAGCGAACAACTGATGTCAGCCAAGGAACACTATAAACTTTAAAATGCAGTTCCTTTTCTTATGTTTTTGAAGAGGATTGAAGATCTTTTACTTGAGCTCCCCTTCAAATGATATAACCAAACATAGAGGATTGAAGTTGTTCAAGGTTCGAGGTCGACACGGTTTTCATTTTAGGAAAAAAGACAATTTTTCAAAGGACTTTCCCAAAAACATTTTATTTTGTCCAAAGCTCTACGAATATAATTAAAATTTTGATTCCTTTAACGGTACCACAGTTAATAATGATTGAAAAAAGAGAAAAGAGGGACAAAAAAAAAATTTCAGTTGTTCCGGGACTTTTGCTGCACCCTGTAATCAAAATAACAACTACAGGGTACTTGAAATACAAGGACTTAAGAGAGATATGATTTCCTGTTACTTATAGACCACAGGTACTTTAATAAGATAATACCTGCTTTAAGTTTAAACACCTCCCAGACTACTTCAGAGAGACAATGATAAAAGGTTTTCAAAATAAAATACTTGAGCTGCCACTGGAAAGGAGTAAAAAAAAAAATTTAACTGGATCTTCCGTAGGGATTGGTGGGTATCTGAATTCAACTATGCTGGTAAATTAAGAGAAAAAAAGGGAAGGAGGTAAGTAAAAAGGTTTTACTACTGTTTTTGGCAACTTACTTCAATATGAGATTTGTTTATAAGCCACGGCCTATGAGCGAGAATCTTATTGATTTCATATAAATCTCGCAATTTCTTTGGAATCTGATTAAGACCTTTCAGCCAAGACTGATCACCGCCTTGCAGCACAAACTCTTGTTTTTGTTGGTTGATCAAATAACTACACTGGTGTCTCCCAGCAGCCTGCAAAAACAGAAGAACAAAATGTGGTTAAATAAAAATTGTACACACACCAAATGAGTACGTTGATGAGAAAAGACACATTTTGGTAAAATTCCCTGACAAATGAAGATAATAGAATGTAAAAGCTTTTAGACGTTGTCAAATTTCCTTCAATAACATATTAATTTTCAGGGCAATTTGTGAATATTTTCCTTCCAATTTTTCTGATACTTTTTTTTGCAATTTCACCTACAGTTTCTGAAAATTTCAAGGAGAAATATTCATAACTTTCCCCAAATATGACCATTTTATCGATGGAAAATTGGCAACACTCACATTTTCATACGGCGTTATTCCTTAGCAATTGCTGGATGTAGGATCTCCGGGCGTAGGAATTGACCTCTCCTGAGAGAATGTCGAGGCGAGATCTGAATAGAAAGCTCGGGTGAATTCTGTCGTACTAAGGAAAAACACCGCATGAACCTTCAGGCGTTGCCAAATTTCCTTTGATAAAACACAAATTTCCTGGTAAACATATGAATAGTTTTTTTTTCCAATTTTTCTGATACCGTAGCTCGCAATGGAGATGTTGCATGTGTGAGGGATTTGCGATTTGACTGCTGTTTCTTATGTAAAAGTTCGAGAGAAACACGATGGTGACACTGGTTCTCTCTGAAATCATCTCCCAAGCTTAAAAAAAGCTCTCTAAGTGAGGCCAAAATGGAGGGGATATCCCGCCCTACCCTGAGAGTCCACCTCTACATCAAAACAAACTCTCCATGCAAAGATAGGGAGCAAATACATTAGCAGGGTTGCCGTGTTTTCAGTTTTGGAGTCTCCAAATGAAGTGGCAGCGCTGTCAATGTATTTGCTCCCTATCTTTGCATGGAGAGTTGGTTTGGTGTAGAGGTGGACTCTCAGGGTAGGGCGGGATATCCCCTCCATTTTGACCTCAACTTGAGAGCTTTTTTTGAGCTTGACAGTTGATTTCAGAGAAAACCAGTGGCACCATCGTGTTTCTCGCGAACTTTTACATAAGAAACAACAGTCAAATCGCAAATCCCTCACACATGCAACATCTCCATTTCACAGAAAAGTCCTGACAATTTCAAGGGAAAATATTCATGCCTTTCCTCAATAATGAACATTTTATCTAAGTAAATTTGGCAACTATTGAATGTTCATACGGCGTTTTTCCTTAGCAAGGCAGAATTCACCTGTCATCACTACTACGCCTCCGCCGCGCCACAGTAGCGGACCTCCCTGGCGGCTGAAACGAGGCCCTCGCACCCGCTCCCCTCGCCCTCACGCATCCCCTGACCCCGCGCACTGTGGTCCCTTTCGCTTTCATCCCTTCGCTTCCTGCTTTCCCCTCGCCACGGCGCGGCGCACTATGGTCCGAATAGCCGGTTTAAGCGGCAATAAATCGAAAAAGTGAAGTTCGGAAAAAGTTAGATTTTAAGCGGTAGATCGATAGTACATACTGTAGAGAAGAATCCTGTAAAATTTCACTTCGATTAAAGCACTAATAAAGATGTGACAAGCGTGGGAAGTGCGGCGCGCGGAGCACTTTATGAGTGCGATTCCAGTTACCGAGCGGCAGTGCTGTGTTTAAGGGCTTGTTTTCGTCGTTTCACCGTACCTGAAAGTGTTTGNAAACTTAAAAAAAAAAAAAAAAAAAAATCTACCGAGAATCGAACCCGGGATGTCAAAAAGACGAGTGAGATGCGATGTCAACTGCTCCACCGTGTCAAGATGAATTTCATGCCTCAATTTAAGGTTTCTGAACAAAATATTACCACAGTTATATAAAGTATAATAATGTTAAAAATGGATTTTTCCTGAAGAATATTAGCATTTTTGCACTCAGCGACCCTAAAAACCCCTGAAAACTCATGTTGCGAGGTTTAAACATACAAATCTGATTTAATGCCGCTTAAACCGGCTATTCGGACCATAGTGCGGCGCCCGCTGACTCCCGAGCAGGGATTCTGTGCAGAAACAAAGGCCCCTTTCACTCGAGGGATTCTTATTTCCCGGCCCCAACCCCTCTCAACATTCGAGTCGTTACGAGCTGCCGCGCCGTGAAATTCTCCCGCGACCTTGAGAGCGCCTCTTCAAACCCGGCCCCGCTCGGAAAATGTCCTCTGACGCCGAGTGCGAACAGCGCGTGACCTTTGACATTCATCCTGAAACGCCTGACGGAAATGACATGCCGCGGCGGGAAAGGGCATCTCGCGAGCGCTAACGATTTCGTTAACGGATGATGCACAGCGAGTGACAGGGTTGACAGGCTTGCTCGGGCTTTCAAATTTCCTCGACTTTTCGCACGGAAAACTCTTGAAAAAAATTATGACAAATGTCAACCCTTACGCCTCTAGGCCTTTTCACGAAGGCCATTCATAAGGTCAAAAGTGAATAGGCATGATGAAAGAATCCTTTTGTGGCCAGTCGAGAGGCAAAAATCTACAAAGTTGGCGAAAATAATTAATTTTAATTTATTCTGGTTAAAAGCAAAGATCTAATCTCGAGGACGGCTCCGATGCGCAAGGTATTTGGCATGGAGTGTCTCTAGGAATATTGCTTTCAAAATAAGAAACGCTTGGCTAGATCCTGAGTGACGTCATCAAATGACGTGTAAAACAGTCGCCGAATCTCAACTAGCTGCCATTTCCTGCACTCCCCTCTACTGGGCGATAGAATCGTGCTAAAATTTTCAGAAATTTAGCCTTGCGCTAGAGCGGCAGATACACCCGCGAGTTACAAGCGCTCGTTGAAAGTGAAATACCGAAATACCGATGGGAAACTAGGATTTTGATTGCTCGATGTCGACCTAGCGAAATCCCAGTTTCCTACTGGTGTTACACTTTCAACAAGCGCTTGTAACTCGCAGGTGTACCTGGGCCTTAATCCGCGGTATTGGCGAATAGTCGAGCCCGCTATCACTATCGAAAAATACATCGGAAAGTTCCGAAACGAATATAACGCCGAGAGGGACGCGGAAAAAAAATGATCAATTCGACTTCGATCCACACCCAAGCTCCAGAGAAAACCTTTTAAAAACATCAAAACACCCGAAGAAGTTCAGAGAAAATACGAAGTTGAGAGAGAAAGCGGCACTCTGCTCGAAGGAACAAGATCGATCCATTCGACTCCGAGCTTCGCGAGGAAAGTTCCCCGAATGTATCGACGAAGAATCGGAAAGAGATCGACCTATCGAACAACTCGATCGAGCGCGGAGCTGAGGAGCGTTTCACGGTTGGCCGGCGTCGCCCATCACCGGAGCCGCTATAATTGGAGCGACACATTGTTTGACTTTTTATCCAAATTTCGACGTCTGGGGTGACTAGAGCGGAAGAGATGATTCCGAATACGCAATTCGGCCACTGGTGATGACCACCCCCCCCTCACCCCCCGTCAAGGTTCACGTCTTTCCCCGCCACCCACCGGGTCCCTCCCTCTCACCTTCTGCTGCGGAAAGTAATCGAAAGTCGTTTCGCCTCCCTCGCCGGATATTTACCAATTTATAGCGGCTAAAAATAGACGCGCTGATCGGGGAACTGCACCGGAAAATGGAATGGAGATCCTCTAACTCTACGCTGTCGTGCTGCGGAAAAACGCTGTATGAGCTTTCAAAATTTGCCGCACATCTTCCGATAAAATACTAGATTTACTTGGAAATTCGTGGATATATATTTTTTTTTTTCAATTTTTCAGACTATTTTGTTCGCAATTTATTCTATCTGAGAATTTCAAGGAAAAATAAGCCTAACTTTCCTAAGAAATAAATATTTTTACGGGAAGAGTTTGGCAACATTGGAATGCTTATACGTCGTTTTTCCTTGGCAAGGCAATACGGTTTGGGAGACTTCGGTCACAGAGACTGCTTGCTTGAACCGGTCGGTTGGTGATCTGGAATTCGACGGGGAAAATTGACTTGGGTATCATCTGAGCGGCTATCTGAAGAGTTCAGGGCAAGGAATTCACCAACTTTTTATGAAAAAGCGCATGAAAACTTCAGGGATCCAGACAACCTCAACCTCGGGTCTCACTTACGAGGTTTTTTTTTCTCCGCGCAAAATGCTCGTAGGAAAAGGAACACTCTTCTACGCTCTGGTATTTGAAGCTGGATTTTGGGTTTTTGTGCACTGTGATTCCTTTATAAGTAGGTGGTCACATTTGGAGCACTGGAAAAAAAAAACACATTGGATCTAGAGTCCAGACTCTTGAGAACATTGACAAGAAAAAACACTCTTGATTCAATCGGATTTTTGCTTGAATCAAAACGAAATCCGCTTTAATTAAGAGGCTTGCTTCTTGAGTTAAGCTAGATGCTGATTGAATCAAGCATAGGCGGTTCTACGGGGGTGCCAGTGGGTGCCGGGCACCCCCAAGCAAAAATTAAGTACGGTTATCGGAACCGTGAAATTACCGCTTTTAAAGATTCTGTATTCGCTCACACTGAGAAAAAATCCCAGCAATCAATTGAAAACGTTTTAAACAGCATTAATATTGATAGCCGTGTTTTACAAAGATTCTACTATTTTTTTATGGTAAGATTGTAGTTTTGATGGAAAGTTTTGCCAAAAATTTTCTACGTTGAATTTAGAGGTATTTAAGTGGAGAGGAAGGGGAGAAAAAGAGAAAGGAGGGTAGGAAAGGGATAAAACTCGAGGGCCGAAACTTAGACCTCCCCTGAGCGACCGTCCCCTTCGGGGCCGGTCTCCAATATTTTCCACCTCCGGGCACCCCCAAGCATGAATGCCTAGAACCGCCTATGGAATCAAGAATACTTTTTCTTGTCCATGTTTTTAAGAGTCTGGACTCTAGATCCAATGTGTTTTTTCATCCAGTGAAATTTATCTGAAAGCGAGGACACAGCGAACTTTGCGAGTGGCAGGTATCAGCGACCGGAGGACGACGCGACGTTCAGATTCGGTGTCGTTGGACCGACGGCGAAGCGACAAAGACGTGACAATGAGCCGTCCTAAGCTAAAACCGAGCAACTCCAAGGGAAATCCGGAGCGAGTACGCGTTTTTTGGGGCGCGAGGGGCCGAAAACAAGAGGCACAGACCGCGCCCGCACTCAACTTTCACCACCGTTTCCCATCACTCATCGCTTCATCCATCTCTGAGTTGAGCTTGCGAGCTCGATCTAAATCGTCATTTGCTGAGTAGGAGGCTCAAAATGTAATGTTTTTTAAAATCTTTTCATGTTTTTAGATACACTGGAAAGAAAAAACACATTGGATCTAGAGTCCAGACTCTTAAAAACATCGACAAGAAAAAATACTCTTGATTCAATCTGATTTAAGCTTAAATCAAGAACCAAGCCTCTTAATTTGAGCGGATTTCCTTTTGATTTAAGCTTAAATCTGATTGAATCACGAGCCCTTTTTCTTGTCGATGTTTTCAAGAGTCTGGACTCTAGATCCAATGTGTGTTTTTTTTTCCAGTGTAGCATCTTAGTATTTCGAGATTTGGTAATATTAAGATAAAATGTTTAAAATTTGACGTTTCGATAAGAATTAATTCCCCCAAAATTGCCATGCGCATGTTGAGTGCGAAGAGGAGGAGTAAAAATTTTGATGAAAAACTAACAAACTCAAGAAAAAAAAAATGAGTAGAATTGAACGAAAGCGGATCGGCCTCGAAAAATATTATGCTCATGAAAGTGTTGGGCCTTTTCACTGCTGCTTATTGGTTTGTACCTTTCTTTCGTACAAAAATGATAGGGTAGAAAATCATTTTTCAAGAGTTTTGAGCGGGATGATTTTTTACTACGGATAGGATAGGAGATACGAGCCTAATTAAGTAAGATAAGAAGCGATGGTCTTCCTTGAAGCTGAATGAATTCGAATGTAATTCACAAAATTTTAGGAACAGAAAAATTGGCGCAACCAAGTTGAAATTTACAAGACGATTTGAAAGAGTAAAAAATAGATAGTCCCAAGCCGCAAGGTTAGAACTAACGTTCCATTAGAAACAAACATGTTTCAATTCAACGGTTCATCACTCAGATGGACGAACCCTCCCTTCTGGTATGGCTCAATTCCTATGTGACAGGGATCTATTTCGGTAAATTGCGTCATCTGCCGGATAACTTGGGATGATCTTCCTGTGACTTCCTCCATTTGAAACTCGAGTTCTTAATTAATGTTAACAAGGCTGGAGGCTGTCCTAATTGCTCCCTGTCGGGACGGAGCCCTTTAGAGGGGCCCCGATTTCATCAACCGGGGTTGCATTCTGTTGCGGACGGGAGAGGGCTGGAGGAGTTTAAAAAACTCAAAATAGACTCGCCTACACAATTCAGGAATTAAGGAGGAAAGACAGATATGGATGGATTCCTCTTTTACCAAATTGTTACATTTGCTCCAGTATCTCTTTATTTCTAGGAGCACAAGTGTTGTGTTCGATTTCTTTGGGTATTTAGTTTGTATGTATCGCAGGTAACTAGCAATCGCGGAAAATTTTCAAGACAGTAGCACCTACGTAAAGGCACACTCACTCGCATTACTGTGTAGTGAAAACAGTGTCCTTAGTTGGGTTTTGGTCTGATAGGCAACTAAACTAACTGCAAGAAAAACCGTGAAGTATCATGGAAAATGAAGGCGCTATAATCCGAGTTTGTGATTTCAAAGGCTATTGCCAACCTAAATTCGTTTATAGGTATGCGCACGATTGCCGTTACTTGAGACAATACGTAAGCCGCTTGCAAACTGCCGGCGATAACTGATTACTTGCGATAGATTTGAGTCATGCAGTTCTGCAGAACATACATACTAAGTTTTGAGTACATGATCTGATAGAATTAATTTTTTGAATCGAGGTTGTACCAGTGGATAACTGAGCGAGTCTCAGTTAAAAAAGGGGGGTAAGGCGAGAGAATCAATTGTAAAAACGAGATGAATTTACTCACCATAATAGCGATAAAGTGTCTATAGTCGAAAGGTAAGGGTCCGTCCCCCCGGAGAATGTAATGATGCGTCCTTAAAAACATCTCTAGGTAGGCGGGATGAAGGCCCATCACTTGGCTCACATGATCGGGCCTATTGTTTTGGAGGAATGCCTCCACCAATAGGCCGTGGGTCTGTAACAAACAGAAAAAAACATATTTTTAGAAAATATAACACTGCTGTTCTAAGAAAAGAAATAGTACAAAGACCCTTCTGCTCCTATTCTGTATTTTTAGGAAAACGCATGAAAAGTTCTGTCGGGCACAGGCCCGATGTTTTCGACGCAGGGATTACAGCTGTCAAGTTTTTTTCTGGAACTGTATCTCTTAATGGAAGAGAAGAAAAAACAGGTATACTGGAAGTGGCATGGACAATCCAGGGTTTGGAGCACTCAAATTAAAAAAAAATTAACATTCCGCGATTTGTACTACCAAAATGCAGAACACTGACTGGTTATTACATGCAATATTCATAGGAAACAAATTCTATGATCAGTGGCGTGGCGTGATTTGCGATATATTGATTGTTATGCCATTTAAACCCATGGAAAAGGGTCGATAAATAGGGTGTTCGCAGCGAACACCTTATTAATCGACCCTTTTCCATGGGTTTAAATGGCATAACAATCAATATATCGCAAATCACGCCATGCCACTGTCTATGATATTTCCGGAGTTTTCCAACATGATTTTAAACACAGGAGGAAAAATTTGATTATTCCACGAAGCAAATCCGTGATTTTTCGCGAATTCCATTACGTGTCACCGGGCTTTCCCCCGTGCCAAAAAAATTCCTGATAATATTAAAAGATGGAGCATATTACCCCCAAAAAATCCGATCGATATGATATGAGTAAAGAGTGAAAACCGCTAAAAGCATAGATAACTAACTGAAGATTCCACTTCGCCCTCAATTCACTCCTAATTTTAGGGGATGAAATGAACTCCAAATTTCACCGAGACTACCAATGGTGTACCAATATCCATAAGCGGCTATTTATGCAGCAATCCCAGGATAAACTGGACGTTTTTATGCTAAAAGGAACTATGTCACATGCAATCCCTATGCACATAGTTCCTTTTAGCATAAATACGCTCGATTGCGCCCCGATAGGTCGATCGTTTCTACACTCGTAGAGGAGCGACGTGCGATTCTAGGTTGCCCTAGTGCAGAACGGTAATGGTTGAGCGAAGACCTTGAGTCACCCATCAATCAGGTTATAAACGTGCGCCGAAAGTCGTAAAATTTCGGGAACTATTATACCGGTCAACGCACCGTACCAAACCGCAGACTCGCGACGACGCGCGCGCTTGCCAGATTGTCCTCAATACAAGCCATTTACTCCGTGCAATTAAATGTACTGTGCGTACATAATACCGTGCCATTCGGCAACAGGGGCGTAGAGTGGGAGCTAATGTTTTTTTTTACTTTCATCTTTCACTTGACGCCGGAAAAGAGGACTTTTCAAAGTTTCTAGAGCAGTCTAGACCCGAAGGGCAACGGGAAAAATCGGACAAAATGATGACTATTAACTATTAAATGGACCGAGTTCATTAGTAAGGAACCAACCCACATTCAGTTGAAACTGAGAAAAAGAGGTTTGAAGTCTTATTCCTGATACGGCTTAATGAAAAAAATGAACTTCAACCCCTTTTATCACAATTTATTTGTTTGTTTATAGACTTTCAGTTTTCGGCAGGAGGAAATATACGGCAAGTGAAACTCTATAACATTCCTAACTCCATTTTTTGGAAAATATGGGTTGGTTCCTTTCTGATAAACTCGGTCCAAATGTTGGGCGAGCACTTTCTTGCAAATTAGGTTCGGTGCCAAATAGCTCAAGTCTTTGGTCACCAGTCATCACTCGGCGTATCAACTTCCGGATGTAGCTTTTACATGGTAGGAAAAATAGCAGTGCGGGGTTTGTAAAATGCACTGTCTGAGGTCGTTTCCTTGTCCTGCTGACGGTTTTATCAGGGCACTGAAACGTGAATGGGTCCAGGCTGAAACCTAACGCTTGACGCGTCGGTTCGGTGCTCGTTGCTCGCGTGTCGGGGCTCATCGGAAAGCGGACGCGTTGAATTTCGGCGTCGGTGTCGGGCGATTCACATGCATTCGGGTTCGCGAGTGCATCATGCCGTCGGAATAATCGCGCGAGGCCACTAATTTATTGTTCTTTCCTAGCCGGCTCCGGCTCGGACGCTTTAATAACCGGCGCGGGTGCCAGATAGCGCCACCAGCGAGCCCAGATACTGCCTCGGGGATCAGGGTGACAGAGCTCATGAAATTTTAAAATTTCAAAATTTTGGGGGAGCACTGGAAAAAAAACAGATTGGGTGTAGGGTCCAGACTCTTGAAAACATTGACAAGAAAATGGACTCTTGATTCAATCAGATTTAAGCTTAAATCAAAAGGAAATCTACTCAAATTAAGAGGCTTGGTTCTCGATTTAAGCTTACATCTGATTGAATCAAGAGTATTTTTTCTTGACGATGTTTTTTAGAGTCTCGACTCTAGATCCAATGTGTTTTTTTTTTTTCCCCAGCGAGGGCTAGGAGAGAAAACTGTGCAGGGACGGAAGGAAAACCCTGAAGTCGTAAAATATTAAGCGTTTTCTTTGGAATGCTTCACGTATCTTCCTGACATTTCCCGACTTAACCTACAGACAAAAAGAGAGAAATTTTGATTTTTCCAATTTTTTCCCGGTAGCTTCTCAATCGAATATGATTTAGGGGTGATTTTGTTAATTTTTTAAGACACTCTCGATTAGCCTCAAAACTAAAAATAAAATTTTTACTTTCTTGGAGTTAACCCCTGCTTTGGCCACTTGAGCTCGAAAGACATCTGGGTTCCCGCACTTTTCCTTAAGTTAGTAGGGTCGTTTTGTTGCCTTGCCCAAAATTCCTTGTCTATCCGATTCGTGGTTCAGTACTCGATGCCTTTGGCGTACGAAGGACAATGAAAATTTGACAACAGTGGTTCTCGATGTGCTCGAGCTTTGTACGTAATCATTCTGCCGTGCCAAACGAAAAACGCCATATATGAACACTCCCACGTTGCCAAAGTTCCTCTGAATAATAGCAAACATTTTCCAGGCAGACAGACAGGTTAACACATGTTCCTGGATTTCAAAATTCCTCGACTTTTCGAGGATTTTGATTCCTCGGTTCTCTGAATTTTTATTTTTCAAGAAAAATTCTATCACTAAAAATTTAAAGCGCAAAATAGCTTGAAATTTTTAAAAAAATGCGATGTTTTGGCTGATAGAGCTGATTTCAAGGTTTCTCAGCAGAAGTTACTAATTTTTCCAGTGTTTCCTTGACTTATCAAGAACTAAACCTGACAGAGGAATTTGACTTGGACATTTTTCCGAATAATTATGCACGAAATACGACCTGGCGTGGGCGAAAATCACGAGGAAAAATATCCACGTCTCCGCAAAAATTCGACGTTCCGCAATAAAATTCACTGACGTATCGAGAACTTATCATCCTGACACAGTAACTTTTCCTTAAAATTTTCCCGGATAATTTCACGCGAAACACGACCTGGCATAGGTGAAAATCACGAGGAAAGATATCCATGCCTCCGAAAAAATTCGACGTTCGCCAGTAAAATTCACTGACGTATCGAGAAATTATCATCCTGACACACTAACTTTTCCTTAAGGTGATTCGATGGACGCCATATTTTGTGTCAGGACGGCATGCGATATATCGCATCGATTGGTTCCAATTTTTCAGCTACTGGTCATTTTTCTCCAATTTTGAGATCTCAATTCTGTTGTCAGGAGACTAAAGCACTCACTTACCAATTTTAACAAAGGCATTCAATGTAACAAAGGCGTGGTTTCTTTTTAGAGAGAAAACATCGCATTCGATAATGATATCGAAACTCCACTCGAATGCGATATATTTTCTCGGAAAAAACCGCGCCTTTATTAAGTTGAATTTGTTTGTTAAAATTGGTAAGTGAGTGCTTCAGTCTCCTGACAACAGAATTGCGATCTCAAAATTGGAGAAAAATGACGAGTAGCTGAAAAAATGGAACCAATTGATGCGATGTATCGCATGCCGTTCTGACACAAAATATGGCGTCCATCGAATCACCTTAAAATTATCCCGAATAATTTCACGCGAAACACGACCTGGCACAGGTGAAAATCACGAGGGAAGATATCCATGTCCCCGGGCGAAAAAATAAATATTTAACGAGAGGGAATACTCGGCAAGATCGGGAGTCCCATAGGTGGTTCTGTCGGCGGGGCCGGGTGGATGGGAGCTGCGGCGGTGATTAATGGGGTTTTTGTTTGTGCTTAAATTAACGATGATCAACGTCCAGATAGGAGTGAGTTACGGGCGCCGCGGCCGGCGTGGCGGGCGTCGGGCACCCGGTCCGCTGATTAACTCCGCGGCCTCGCCGACCGGGCACGCATAATCCCGCTTAATTATTGTGATGGGCACCGGAATCGGGAGTCGTACCCCGGGCAGCACCGTCCGGAAACGCCGGCCCCCTCCCCCGCCCCCGCTAATTCGGGGGTGCCCTGAAATTTCGACGCCGCCGCCCGGAGAGGAAACCGAGGTTCCTGCCGTGAGAAACTCGAGTGCCGACACTCCGGCTCGACGAGGTTCGACGGACGCCGACAGGATTCTTCGTATTTCCCCTCGCGTCGGCGGCCGGTGTCGCCTTTATAAAATACAAATAACCTCTCGGTGAGAGAAAGGATTCTCACTGCAGCGGCTGATTATTGAAATTGATGGACAAAGCGATAGACGAAGAATACAAAAGGAGTATGGAGCGATCCTACTGGTTGAAATGGGTGGTTCTTATAGACTAGGAGAAAAAATGATGGACTAATTATAAGGTCTGCCGTGGGTTGGCGTTAGTTAATCTATTACGTACCTCCTTTTAAATTGAGATCGACTTCACTGGGAAAAAAAACACATTGGATCTAGAGTCCAGACTCTTAAAAACATCGACAAGAAAAACTACTCTTGATTCAATCGGATTTTTGCTTAAATCAAGAACCAAGCCTCTTAATTTGAGCGGATTTCCTTTTGATTTAAGCTTAATTCTGATTGAATCAAGAGTATTTTTTCTCGTCAATGTTTTCAAGAGTCTGGACTCAAGATCC